CCCTCCACGACATGAACTACAGGGTAACCCAGGATATAACAGGAATATGTAGAGAGAAAAGTTTATATGTTTTGCTTTGTTGAAATTAGCAGGAAAAAAAAAAAAAAAAAAAAAAAAAAAAAAAAATGCTTTGGTACTGATCTGCTACTAGTCATGAAATCTGTAGAAAATGAAGTGTACACTTACCAGTAAGAGAAGGAAAACTGTGTAAAGCAGATATAATATTTTGGTTTCGATGCCAACCTTCACCAGACGCCTACCAAACAAGACTGTTCAGCGGAGGAATTGTTACCCCTCAGGGCTTTGCAATTCAGAAGGTATTAAAAACTTTGGTGAGTTCATGCCTGTTATTCAGCTGACATCAATCATGTGACTCCAAATGTAGTGCTTAATTTGATATCGAGTGAAAGGACTGGGGAGACTGGACAGCTGTTGACCAGGGTGGATAAAATAAACATTTTAAATATATGTAGCATCAACTTTCGTCAGATCCAAGGCACTTTTATTCGACATTTTTAATCTTAACTCGATCTACGCTTACAATTTAATAATTTCAGCAGAAATCAATATTTTTAATATTGCATTGTACTCAAAGCGATATTATTAATTAGTAAAAATACACAGGTGATTATTGAATATCTCGCGCGCTGATTAGTCGAGAAACTCACACTATCACACATAATCACCTCCAGTGATAATCCAAAATGGCGGCCAGCCGCTTTGTTGCTGTTACCGGAAAAAAATGTCTTTTATCTTTTTCATTTTTCATTTTTTTTCTTTTTTCTTTTGAAAGAATCAACTGTGTATTTATACTAAAAGAATTATTTGCCTCAGCCTCAGTGAATATCGGAGACTCGAAGACTCGCGTCTCGGTAAATATCCCCCCCCATCCCCGATATTCACTTCGCCTTCGGCGAATAATTGTTAATTACTATATAGACTTGTTTCTAACACGTTTTTTTTTGTTTTATTTTATTCATTTTTTGACCCAGCTTTCGCTTATATCATGCAATATCGATTAGAATTGCAATATCATGTGCGCGTTTTTATTTTTCGAATAGCGCTCTCATGTCTGTTAAAAAGTTTCCTTTACATGCGTAGATATTGCAATTTGTAAGCGCTTTATTATTATTGCGTGCGTAAATAGCTTTCTTGATCAGTTATATGAATAATTGTTCACAAATTACTTAAGCCCTGATGATTCACTAGTAGAAGATGCACTCAGTAAAAATAAAAAAAGTGGTAGTAACAAAGTCTATATAGTAATCATGGAAGTAAGCTATCATTAACATATAGCTAACATGCTACTAATCAAGGGGAAGACGATCCACCAATTTTCGACACGCATGCGTGAACGCTTATTCTCAAATAAAGGGTCTCACAGTTTAAAAAAATATAAATAACTTTGACGATTGCAAAAGCGTTTGTTCTAAGGATTGTTTCAAAATAAAAGATCATGCTGCGCATGCGTTTACTTTAAAGATCAAGGATAGTCTACACWTTAATAAGTTGATCTTAGAATCACGCAATAGTTCTTTTATCTTTTTTGGTTTGCAGCAATATTATASTTAAAATAAAATTAATTCATTTCTCATTCAACTCTCTTTGTACTTCTGAAGATAGCAAACTTTTTGCCGAACCATGCCAAATAAAAACCTCAGTTTACGAATAGCGCCGTTTATTTTTTTCGAATAGTTATTGTGCCCACGTACAAAAAAATAATCTAGAAATATTATTAATATTGCTGTCTGCTGAAATATATATCATTAATAATAGCAGAGCACCATACTTAAGAAAAAATGGTAAACCATCGAGTTGATTTTTCATGGCTTGGCTGACGCCACTTCCGTCCGTCCGTACGTCCGAGTACACAACACAGGGATCCCGCTTTTATGTCAAAGCAAAACTACTCGCAAATGCGGCTCTCAAATGCACAGAAAAAATCGCTTTAGGACAAATTTTAGGCCAACAACAAATAACAAAAACTTTCATGTAGTC